CTGATTCTTGTTATCTTCATTGAGATCTGAGGGGCCAATGAAGTTTGAAAGTAATGATAGAAGGGTAGCGACCAAATCTGCATTATGAAAATATCTATGGTTACAAAAATTTATTAATAAATTTGGTAATTAATTGTTTATTCATATAAAGCTGTATCATATAATAAGGAAAGACGTATAAAACAAATTGATAAGTCATTTATAAAACTAAAATTAATTAAACCTAAACTTTTGAATGTTAATGTTGTTACGAATGCAAGCAGTATTCAAAGAGAATGTTTAGAGCGGTAAAGTCTCTGAACACTGGTAGTTCAGGTTAGGTGTTTGAATCCTGGCGAATGGGCTGGCTGCATGGGCAGTTTCATGGTTTTCCCCATGTGTAACGGTTTTCCTTAAAAGTCTTTCTTTGGGAACCTCTGCTTTAATGCAGTTCAGAGAGCATCTCTTCCTTTTGCGAATACCAATGTGTGCGACGCTGTAATACAAAAAAGTGAAAGTTCTCTTAATATAAAAGGCCTATTTTAGGAATTTCTTTTCGAAATGTAACAGAAGTACCTATCCTTAGGAATATTCGCATAACTTTACTAGAATTTTAGATACGGGAATAAAGCTTGCTTTGCTTCAAAAATTCCTATTTTAGGAATTTCTTTTCGAAGTATAACAGAAGTACCTATCCTTAGGAATATCCACATAACTTACTAGAATTTTAATTAATGATACTTTGGATGATTTTGATGATACGAGAATAAAGCTTGCTTTGCTTAAGCAAAACAAGCTTTTCTCGTATCATCAAAAATGCTTATTTTATGGAATTTCTTTTCGAAATATAACAGAAGTACCCATTCTTAGTAATATTCGCATAACTTTACTAGAATTTTAATTAATGATACTTTGGGTGATTTTGATAGCAAAGCAAGCTTTATTCTTTGCTATCAAAATCATTATTCTCGTATCATCAGAATTCCTATTTTAGGAATTTCTTTTCGAAATATAACAGAAGTACCTATCCTTAGGATAACTTTACTAGAATTTTAATTAATGATACTTTGGATGATTTTGATAGCAAAGCAAGCTTTATTCTCGTATCATCAAAATCAATTCCTATTTTAGGAATTTCTTTTCGAAATATAACAGAAGTACTTATGCTTAGGAATATTCGCATAACTTTACTGGAATTTTAATTAATGATACTTTGGATGATTTTGATGATACGAGAATAAAGCTTGCTTTGCTAAGCTTTATTCTCGTATCATCAAAATCAAAAACCTTTCCTTGCTGCTCGTTTTTCTGCTGAACTTATTTCAGAGTTGATGTTCTGTATACTTTAATTAAACGATATCACGTGACCAAAAGTGCCGTAGTTTAAAGGATCACCTTATTTGATTCGATTCTTACGCTAGAAACTTTGCTGAGATCAATCTGGAAGAGGAACACGCGAATGTAAAATTATAGAAAATAAGCAACCCTTGTCTGGCGCATATTTTTAATAAAAATTTAGAGATTTCGTTTGGTTTATTTAATTACGGCAAAGCACGCGAGGGCTCTCTGCCTAAGGTGTGGGATACCTTTGTTGAGGAATTTATAAGGGGAACTGGGTCGTAGACACGTTACACACGAGGAAAAACGCGAAAACGCGTATGCAGCCAGCGCCGGTTTTCCAACTCTGGACCGAACTATGAGTGTTCAGCGAACTTTAACCGCTCAGCAGCAGGTGAGGATTTCGAGGGCGATCGGACATAGTTCCGTGTTTTTCAGGAGCAAGAACATTTTTGTTTGTAACTAAAGTCGGAAACTGCTTTACATCTGAAAAGAAGAGACCTTTATCAAATAACCTCGATATCAATACAGATTTGTTAAAGCTCTACGCCATAAAACGAAATTATTGTGGTTTACATTTTATGCTTATTTTATTAATAAATCACCTCAGTTTGGTATCATAAATATAAACCAAACTTACAGCACCTTTTTATTATTTATATATAAGCATGAAATTTAGTAAAAACATTTTCCCAAAGACCAAAAATTGAAATTCATAAGTTATAAATTTCATAAAATCCTGTAAATGTAAAAAATAATTTAATAAATGCCAAAACTAAAATTCTTCAAACAAGTAATAACCTAATTTAAAAAAATCCATGAAATTTAAAAGATAAAGAATTTTATAATTATAATTTCACTTACGTTTTCAGTTTTCTTGATTCTTTCTCTCTCTTTGTTTAGAGGTAAAATTTTGATCTGAATTTACTTTGTTTTTGCTTTGAGAAGGGGTCGGAATTTTCGGGTGAACTATTATAATTAAAATACATACGAATGGTTCATCGGCTAATTCTGGATATAGAAAAAACGATTTTTTTTTTCAAAGAGAGATATCAATTGATTTCGGTGTTCCTCCTCCTGACGAAGTGGCACTAAAGTTGATTGAATTCTTCTTATTTTATGTTCTTTATTCTTTAAATTTCATTGATTTTTGGAATCAGAGTATTGCTTTTGTTTGAAGTATTTTAGTTTTAGCATTTATTAAATTGCTTTTATATTTATAGGATTTAAATAAATTTATTTCTTATCAATTTCAATATTGGGTCTTTGTGAAAAATTGAAACTAAATTTCTTACGTTATATCTTTATTGATAATTTTTCAGCTGCTTAATGCGCGAAAATACTAGGCATGATTATATTATTTTTTAAATTGTTTTTTAACTATATATATATATATATATGTGATGTACCAGCTTTTGTCCGGAATAAATAGATTGGTGAAGAATCATAGACGTAGTTGTAGCTCAAAGTATCAGACGATAAGTTTAAAAAACAGGATCCATTTATTATTATTCAGGAGAAATAGCAGTTACAAAAATCCGATCTCCGGAGTGAATAAAAAAGAACTACTAATAACTTTTTGCATGAAGTTTATTAAAGAAAAGAGCCGAAATTCCTTTGCGAGTCCTTTTATAGCCTCTGGAAAGGCATAGCTTCCAAGAAATGACGTCAGCCATTCCAGTTCGCTTTAAATATCTCTAGAACATTCTATAACTGTAAGTGTAGAAAAGGCGGGAAAAACGACTTGACTACGGGGCTGTGAATTTAATTCCACGTACTTTCAAATAAAAGACCGTCGCCATTAAAAATGAAAAGAACATACAGTTAGAATTTTAAGTGTATTTTTGACTATGGAATTTTATTATTACACAATAAAGTATTTAAAAATAAAATTAAAATTATTATTAACTATTGGTTTATATATATATATATATATAAAATGTACCGTGGATAAGGATATTTAGATTTAATGTTAACATTAAAGAACCATAGTAATACGAGGACGTCTCTCATTTAAGATTTCTAATCTTAATCAGTTACTTCAAAAATAGGAAAACATTACCAAGAAACCTTATGAGATAATTTTCGCAAATCCTTTTATTATGTACTAGAAAGAGCTCAAACAGCTCATTCCATGTAAGTGATAATTTTCTGTTTGCTTTGAGAGAACAATTGGTGCATAGGAGCTCCCCCTTAATTAGGTAACCTTTTGTTCCAGTGCATTACAGGATCTCTTGTTGGTGTGTTTGCAGAAAGGTTAAGGTCTTTTAGAGGAAAGTAAACGAATGGAGGCTATGAGGGGAGTTTGGCGATAAACTTCCCAACAAAACAGAACAAATTAATTGTTGTCCTACATTCAGTTTCATTAGAGAAAAGAATGGGAAACTAATTAGAGTTACGGTACTGGGAACTGAAGGATAAATTAAAAGAAAGAAGAAACTTTGCATCAAACTATTGACATTAAGCAGAACGGAAAGAATTAAATTTTATAAGGGTCATTCGTATCTCATGAATGAGAAAGAACAACGAAAGTGGAACTAGAGACCTAGTGATTTATTGATTGAAGTACAGTTTTGTGGTATAAGAAATTTTGAGTAATGATGATAACTGGCACTCATGATTGGACACTTAAGACATAATAAAACGCTCTAGACTGTGATGCACTTTATAAGGTATTTCTCCCACTTCCCTAGCGTGCCTTTGTGGTGTAGTGGTTCAGCACGCTAGGCCGGTATTCCAGATGTCCGTGGTTCGATTCCCGGAGAAGGCGGTTGCATATTTTTCATCTTTTCTGCCCAATTAACATAATGACTCTACAAGTGGCGCCCGAATTAAAAGAGTTGTGGATGGTGATTCTCCGCACCCAGGAATTGGCGACTAGGTCCCCTAAAACCCTAGTCGCCCTTTGAAAAGGGGAGTATATAAGGTATTTCTGCCACTTTCCTAGCGTGCCTTTGTGGTGTAGTGGTTCAGCACGCTGGGCTGGTATTTCAGAGGTCCGTGATTCGATTCCCGGCGAAGGCGGTTGCATATTTTTCATCTTTTCTGCCTCTAAAAAATTCCTAATGACTCTACAAGTGGCGTCCGAACTAAAAGGGGTTGGATGATGATTCTCCGCACCCAGGATTTGGCGACTAGGTTCCCTAAAACCCTAGTCGCCCTTTAAAAAGGGGAGTACATAAGGTATTTCTCCCACTTTCCAAGCGAGGCTTTGTGGTGTAGTGGTTCTGCACACTGGGCCGGTATCCAGAGGTCCGTGGTTCGATTCCCGGCAAAGGCGGTTGCTATTTTTCATCTTTTCTGCCTCTAAAAAAATCCTAATGACTCCAGAAAGTATTTTTTGGAAGCAGGAGTCATGAGAAATGCACGACGCCCTCGCCGGGTATCGAACCACAGATCTCTGGAACACGCGCCCAGCGTGCAGACCACTACACTACAAAGGCATCCTAAGAAGGCGGGAGAAATACCTTATAAACATACGCAAAATTATAATCTGAATATTCGGAATAAAATAGGAAGCGGAAGTCTTTTAATTGAACACATGTCTACAGAGTTCAGTACTGTCTGTGCCAATGCTAAAGAGTAGTTACATTCAAAAAACAGTTTATTGGACTTTAATTTATTAAAATTTGGCCAATATGGTATAGTGATATTGCATATTTGACAGATTAATCAAAAAAGAATTTAAAAAATGTGATAAAGCAACTTTATTCAATGAGAAATTTTCATATACATGAGAAGACGCTTCTTTACAAAAAGATTTCTGCCTCTTTAATAACTGAAATGAACTGCTGTACTACTGTGCTGAGCTGTTTCATTTTTAAGACGAGCTCTTCCACATTACTCATGAGCTCTACCACTGCGTCCTGTGGAGTTGAGTCATCCTCATGGCCAATGTTGTTTTTCGATTCTTCTTGGAAAGCAGAATCTACCTCATTTTTGAGAGGGCTACAGCGATATTCATATGCAGATATGAAAAGGTTATGTCGATATTGCTTACACACTGTGTTATCTGGACACTCGCAGCTATATAAACAAAAGCGCATGCAATTAAGGAAAGTACTGAAAATTCAATTTTCTAAAAATAACATAATAAATATTACAAGCATTTAATATACATTGACGAGTCAAAACATTAAGACTATCGCCACATTTCTCATTGAATTCGGTTGGATAACATGGAGGGCTCGTGATTAAGTGGAAATGGTATTTAACTGCTGCTCGAGAAGGCAAGGAATCCCTCTTGCACTTACTTTTGCGACCGATGGGAAGGGCTGATTGATGATCTAAGCGGATTGTAATGGGTAAACTGTAATGCCCCGAAGATTCAAAACGATAATCTCCGAAAGTGCACGACTGGTATGTTGTTCACGATCTGCCATTGTTAAAATTTTATGCAAAAGGGATAAATGACGGCGAAACCAGCAGCAGGCGTCAAGGTGTCCAACGTTTACACGTCATCAACGAAAAAGATGCATGAGACTACGGATGTATGAGACAACGAAAAAGATGTATGAGATGCTTGGCACAGCAAAATTGGCGACGCTCAGTTGACAATGCAAATTCAAATGCAAGTATTTCGGAACACACTGTTCAGGAGACACTGCTGGATATTCAACTGCGCAACAAACGTTCCACTCGTGTGCCTCTTTTGACCAAGGGTCATTGTCAACTAGACCTTCAGTGGCCCCGGGAACATGGAGACTGGGCCATGGATAAGTGGAAGATATTTGCCTGGTCGAATGAATCACGATTTCTCATTCATCACGTCGATGGTCGTGTCAGGGTGCACCGTCTTCCAGGTCTCCTTCCTGTACAGCAGGTCACAAACAGGCCAGTGGTGACAGTATGATGCTTTCGGAGACGTTCTCATGAGCTGCTCTGGGAGCCTTAGTTGTGGTAGAACAGATCATGAAAGCAGTGGATATTTGAACATCATTGCAGATCAGTTGCTATGTTACATGTTGCCTGTCTTCCCCAGTGGAAAGGGAATCTTCTAACAGGAAAACGCCCCATGTCAGAAGGCTCGAATTGTATTGCAATGCTTCGAGAAGCATAAAGATGATTTCCAAGTTATGCCCTGGCCATCTAACTCGCAGGATCTTAACCCCATAAAGCAATGTGGGATAGCAGAGAGCGGCAGCTCAGAGCTCAAACATCACTATGTTGGAATATCTTGACTTTGTGCGACACCTGCTTCGACATTTGGTACAACCTGTCTCCAGTTATCTACCAAGAAATTGTGGCATCTATGCAAAATGCGAGTTGCAGCCGTTTTGCAGACCAAAGATCGTGCAAAGCGTTGTTTAGTAGGTGGTCAGGATGTTTTGGCTCTTCAATGTATTGTTTCATTGTATGTCTTATTAATGATTTGTATCCTTCTATGAAATGCTAATATTGTTGTTAGTGCACATTTTAATTTTTGGCTTTTGTTTATTTACACTCTGTATTATTCTCATGTATGTACCGAATGGAGGAGGAAAAACGATTGGCGTCCTTTTAAGTTATAAAATGAATTTATCTATTCAATATACAGGATTGGAAAAAAGAGAAAGTATGCTCCAGACACATGGGTAATTTTGTCTTACATTTTTATAAAAATGTAATTTTATTTTTATAAATAATTTTTGGTTCATTGGTTACTGAAACCTCGCCATTCATTGCTTTAAAAGGCAATACATGTGTACAAAGCTTTCTCAGGAAAACATGCTTTAGTACAAACCCTTCACCGTTAAACAAACACAGAATAAACAAGCAATGTACAGATGTGTTGTCTTCTCCAACATTGGGAGCTATTTTTCAATTGACTAAAATACACCCATGTCCATACATTAAGGATAATTCAGAACCACACGTAAATCGAACTCAAGTAAAAATTTCACCCGTTGAATTATCCCACGCATCTTCAAGAATAATATGCAAATTACAGGACGCCATCAGATGAAGGCGATATAACGTCAGAATGCCAAGAATGTAAGAGAAGTGTATACATAAGGAACAGTAACAAAGAAGTAAAATTAGACCATGTGTGGGACATGCTTGCTGACGAATTGCAGCCCGTCAAGCACCTCCTATATGTGTACCGGAACTTCGGAGAGCACTGTTTGCTGAATGGAATAATCTTCCCCAACATCAGCTCCATAATTTGGTACTCAAAATGCCTAGGCGTTGTACGTACTGTATTTCATCGTCTGGGAGACATGCAAGACCCATCATGCCAACCGTGTAAGGTTAAGTTTTTTGTAATATTTTTGTAATTGCTCCCGGCAGCAAAAATCGCAGTTTTTACGAATGGTATCATACATAGACACTTTATGCCATCTTTTTTGTTCTTTACCTTTTATTTAATAAACGGACGTTCTGAATAAATCACGTTTGTTTTGTTTCTGAACCTTTATTTGTTGGAGCTGGCATTATCCTTAATTAATAAACATGAGTTTAGATTCTTTGGCAAGTTAAGTATATTTATTAGCAGAATTAGGAGTAGTTGTAATGATATAATGTTGTATGATCTTAAATTCATTTAGTACGAAAACAAGTTACTATTACTTGCGCAATTGCTGCAAAGTTAGTTAATAATAATTTATTTCCTAAACAATATTGATTAATTGATTATATTATCTCCTAAGTTTAATTAAAGTAGAATTATTTCAAAAGAGTGAATCCATACTGGTAAGTTATATTTTGAAAGATGTTTTGAAGTAATTTGAAAGCAAAATGTTAATAATGTTTTAACGGGGACTGGAGTTAAATCATCATGAAGAACAAAATTTCAATTGTAAAAGGAAAAATTAAAAACATGTAATCATTGTCACTGATCGAAAATTAGTTGACTTTTCAAGGGGAACAAACCAACTCCCGTTCAATGAACAATAATTGATAAAAATTCGTAAATACGAAGGTGTTTCGTCTTTACTCGAGTTATAAGGTAAAATAATTCTACTTTAATTACACTTAGGAGATAATATAATTAATTAATCAATATTGTTTAGGAAATAAATTATATATATATATATATATATATTTATCAAGCAAAGCATAATAAAATTTTTAAAAAAAAACAATTTTGGTCTAGAAAAACATCTTGCGCAATTGCTGCAAAATAAGTAAAATATAAAAATTGTAGTAAGCTCGCCTAAAAGTTACCAAGAGCTGCTGCTCCAAAAGGTTTAACACGTTTTCAAAAAATTAATACACTGAAAAATCAAATCATTAGACATGCAAAACATTAATAAAATTAAAAAACAGAAAAAGTTAAAAAGTAAGCGGAAATGGTAAATTAGCCCATTCCACTTCCAAAAAGGTTTTCAAGGGAAATTTCATTTATTTGAACGTCCGAATCAAGCTAACCCCATTACGCGTTTCGCCGAAACAGACAATTGAAACTTTTTCGCTAAAATTTTTTTTAAAATTTAGACAAAGTGTCTTGGAAATTTTAATAGTCTCAATTCTCTGTTCCAATTTCCCGACGCGTCCGCTCAGAATGACAGCAAATGTAAATGCGCTTAGTGTTAGTTCCTCCTTCGAAATTATTAAATGCTTCAGACTCGAAATACGAAAAATCAACAGAACCATCACAGGGATTACCATGAGTCTTCTAATTCGCCAGCGAGGCCTGCTTTCGTTTAAAAGTTTCGTATTAAACTTTCCAGAGCGGAAGTATGGAATATCGAATGTATATATACAATATTCTTTTTCTCCGATAGCGAGCTGGCCTCTGCTAAGGCCAGAAGTTATGACCACTTTATTATGGAGGCACCTAATAGGTGGGCCACCTTTGCCTCCTATGAAGCGACGGTCAGTTACAACCAAGCTTTCTTCGGGATTCGAACCCGGGCCGTTTGGTAACCACGGGCTCCAGACGATACCCGAATAGTCCCAGTCAGCCGCCCGGGTGTTCGGATCTGCTCTCACCTGTCACCGGTCTGGGCGACGTAGTGTACAATACCAACTCGCCAATAGGAGTAATAGGTCTTTCATTTTGTTAGATGGACACACCGATTTCTTACAAGCGGACAGCACTGGGGAATACGAAATTTGACGAAAATTTTTGAATAATTCCTTGAATTCAAATTCAAGGAATTAAAATATTTACTTTCTTGTTCTAATGGTCCGACTAGAAGACTCGATTAAGAAATATACTCAGTGGTAAGTGCGTTTAATTCATCGAACACCAAAAAGATTCTTCGTTGGAATGAAAGATAAAAAAACATTCTGCTTTTCCCTGTAACTAAACTTTCGATCTAAATTAAAGCAAAGTTCCCCACCCACGTTTACCTTGCATATTGGAATAAACTAGTTCTCACCGTTCAGAAATATCTAAGAGGATTTTAATACGTAAGTGTCCACCAGCGTCGAGTGGTAAGCCCGCTGTAGACTGGTAGTTCGCTCCAAGGTTAGATCTCCGCGAATAGGCTGGCTGTATTTTCGTGGTTTTCCCTATGTATACATATGAGCCAGGTTTCCTTAGAAAGTCCTCCACGAAGGTATCACTTGCCTTAGGCAGATAGCCCTCGAGTGCATTTCCGAAATCGAAAACCAATGTACATCGATACCAATACAACAGTGTATTGTAACCGAGTTTTCTATAAACGGCAGTTTAAATTACTATTTTGAGAAGAACTTTAAAGTAAAATACTTTTAGAAGATGAAAATATTTCGAAACCTAATAGAATTCTGTGCAGTGTTTAGTGGTTGAATGGTTCTAAAAGTTTCGGGATACTATAAATTCATTAGCCAAATCAGATTAAAAATTTACACACACACATATATATATATATATACTTACGGGCCTTTGTATTGCTTTTCAGAGTAATAGTCAGTGGTTTTGTATGTATACCAGCCACACGGCATCCACGAGGAACAAATGTCTGTCGCCTTTTCCTGTTAAAGGCAACGAAAATACATCAAATAAAGAATCTTTTCCTGATTCTCACTCTATTTACGCAAGATGCAATTAAAACAGCTTAATACACACGAAAATTTGCACCATTCAGACCTTGATTCATTTTGTAAAATACTCAAATCAAGTTATTCTGAGTAAGAAGAATCTTAAATATATTGCATTAATAATTACAGCCTAAAAGGTTGTTCTCGGAAATAAAATGAAATATGCCTACTCTAAAACACTCTAAACTTATTTTTAATTTTAAACCCTCATACGAAAGAAACAAATCTGTCAAATTATTGACATATTTAATTTGCTAAGTTATTTATACAATAATTTGCATTGTTAACACACATTATTATACCTGCAAAAAGGTTTTTCAAAGCATACACTTTTATAGTATTATATTTGAGGATGATGTTAGAAAAATAATGTTAAAAATATTTTTAAAAAATCTGAATGTGTTCAGATTTTATATTACGCCCTAAGAGGTTTTTTTCTCAGCGTTTTTTTGTGTTATAAGTATCACGTCCTTCGCACTTAAACCATAAGATTCATTTCAACAGGTGCATTATTTAATAACTACATTAAATTCAATAATAATATCTTTCAGCAAGTTAGAGGAATTCCTATGGGAGCAAACAGTTCTACACAAATTTGTAACCTATTTCTTTTTACCTTTGAATAAAAATTCCAACTAAGTTTAAATAAAAATGAATTAAAGCTATTTGCTCATACTTTTAGATACATAGATGATATTATAACTTTCAATAATAATTCTACCTTTGAGCAATTCAAAATTTACCTAAATAGTTTAACACTTAATAAAACGAATACGAATCAAGATACTATTGAATTCCTAGACCTGCAAATTATTAAAAACAGCAAAATTAAATTATTTGATAAAAGAAGAAATTTCCATTTTCATACTATTAAACTAATTAAGTGCAACTCTAATATTTCTAGAAAAGTAATAGAAAACATGTTTCATAGCCAAATTATCAGAATAAAAAAAATGTATGTACTGAAATAGACGATTTAAAGGAAGAAATAATAAAGCTAATTAATGTTCAAGTTGATAACCAAGTACCACCAAAATTTATTAATTTATATATTAAAAAGGCAGGACTTGACTTTATAATTTTTTGGCTCTTTTGGATATGATAGCATTACCTTAAACCTTAGCTGGAGAGTAATGAAGGATATAAAAGAGTAGAGAAATTATCTTGTAAATTTTTATTGTAAATATTTTGTACATATGTATATTTAATCAATACTGGATTCTTTCCTTTTACTAATAAAGGGCCAACTCTTTTCAAAAGTCTCAATTATAGCCCGAATTGAATGAAGATTTTAATCTTTTTCTCCTAATTTTCCATACTTTAGCCAGTATTTAGTTAAGTTTTGATATACCAATTGAAATCAAGTTCATTAAACTTTTAATATTTTCTTTCATTAAATATAACTTTTAATTAACTTCCAAAAGGAATTTTTGAGAAATTTCTAAAATATTTTTTTAAGGACTTCATTTCAAAAAATTTTGGGAAATTTTACTTTAAAACTTTAATTTTAACACATTTCAGTTTTTCTTAATTACTTTAATTATTTGCAATTTTCACAAAAAATTTTTCACTTAACGTTTTTTTACAATTTTTACGCAATTTTTCAACAGAACACACATTTCACATTTCAAACAGTTTACATTTTTTATTCACCATACCACTTAACTTTATTTTCCTTCAAGCAAACTTACATCCATTGATTGGCTCAGTTACTTAACTCCCTAAATAATTGATAATTACTACCTTTAGGATTTTTAATTTTTAATATTAATGTTTACAAAAAAAATTTACTATAATAAAGTAGATAGCAGCTTAACACTCAACTTTACCTACATAAGCGCCATCTATATAATTTGAAGAACACGTTTACTTCTCTTTAACAACACTTTTGCAGACCCCAACACTCATATAGTAGGTAAGTTAGAATTAAAACTTACTATTTACTTGCTTTAAGTATTTTTTAAAATTTTTTATGTAGTATTTAAGTATTTTCTAAATATATGAAATTATATTTTTAAATATATATTTGTTTTTTTAAAAAATTGTGAATTAGTTCTTTTTGTTTCTTATTGGTTTACATGGATTATGTCTAGTTCTTTTTTTAGTTTCTTTTTATTGATATGCATATTCGTGTCGGGGAGGTTTCTGTAGACAAGGGTTTCTAAAATACATTGGTTTCTTATTTTTTTAGGAAATTAATTTTTTAAAAAATTAATTTTTTTGAAAAAAGTTTAATTCTTGACTTTAGTTGTTTCTCAAAAGACTTCATTAGTATTTTCTTTTCTGAACTTTAATTCTTAATTATTAATTCTTAAATGTTAATTTCTAAGGGTACCACTTTATTGGTATTACTTTTGGTTTTGACTTTTACCCTTGCCTGCATGAATGACGAAACACGAATTGAATGATTGGAGAGTTAGGTTTGGAGGCAACTTCCCCTTGATAAGTCTGTCTCCTGCCTACTCAACGGTCATTCACTTATGCATTTTTTAAAAAATTGTATAACTTAATTTTAATTTGCTAAATTAGTAAATTTATTTTCATGGATTGATTTTGCACTTGATTTGCTTATGCTTCTGAATTTAAATGATATTGTAGATTAGTTCGAGAATTAAATCTTTTATATGTTTGCAAATTATTTTGGCTTTTTTTCCTTTTTTTAGGATTTAAATTTGCTTTTTTACTTTTATATGTGTTTGTTAAAAATTAAATTTAAATTTGTTTAAATTTAAATTTCATTCCTTGCAGCAATGGCGCAAAGAATATTTAATTAAATTTGTATTTAAATTTAATTTTTTTAATTAAATTCAATTTATTCTTATGAAACAAAATATTTAAGAGTGCATATCTTTAGAATTTTCGATACACAGTCTAAAGTGCCCGATACACACTTTTAGAAAAAAGTTAACACCAGAAACCACGAAACTTTCAGCGGTGACCCAAGCGCATGGACAAAATAACAGATGCAAAGTTCGTTCTTTCGCCGCCGAACAGGCTTCGTTCCATGGAGGTAAGAAAGGAAGGAATGGCCAAACCGGCATGAGAAGTGAAGCATCGCTCCGAAGCTTCGGTCGCTGAAACACCCTATATACAGTGAAGTGACAAAAGTCATGGGATAGCAATATGCAAATATACAGATGGCAGTAGTATCGCGTAGAAAATGTATAAATGCGAAGTACTTTGGCAGGGCTTTCATTTATGTTCAAGTTATTCATGTGAAGAGGCTTTGACGTGATTATGGCCGCACGACGAGAATTAACAGACTTTGAACGCGGAATGGTAGTTGGAGCTAGACGCATGGGTCATTCCATTTCGGATATCGTTAGGGAATTCAACATTCCGAGATCCACAGTGTCAAGAGTGTGCCGAGAGTATCTAATTTCAGGCATAACATCCCACCATGGACGGCGCAGTGGCCGACCACCTGCACTTAACGACCGAGACCAGCGACGTCTGCGTAGAGTTGTCAATGTTCACAGACAAGCAACACTGCATCAAATAACCGCAGAAATCAATGTGGGAACTAGGAGGGACGTGTCCGATAGGACAGTGCGGCGAAATTTGTCTTCTTTGGGCTATGCCAGCAGAAGACCGACTCGAGTGCCTTTACTGACAGCACGACATCGCCTGCAGCGACTTTCGTGGGCTCGTGAGCATATCGGTTGGTCCCTAAACGAATGGAAACCCGTGGCTTGGTCAGATGAGTCACGATTTCAGTTGGTAGGAGCTGATGGTAGGGTTCGAGTGTGGAGCAGACCCCACGAAGCCATGGACCCAAGCTGTCAACAAGGCACTGTTCAAGCTGCTGGTGGTTTCATAATGGTCTGGGCTGTTTTTACATGGCATGGACTCGGTCCTCTGGTGCAACTGAACGGATCATTGACTGGAAATGGATACCTTCAGCTACTTGGAGATCACTTACAGCCATGCATGGACTTCACGTACTCAAATAACGATGGGATTTTTATGGATGACAATGCGCCATGTCACCGGGCCACAACTGGTCGTGATTGGTTAGAAGAACATTCTGGACAATTCCAGCGAATGATCTGGCCACCTAGATCGTCCGACATGAATCCCATCGAACATTTATGGGACATCATCGAGAGGTCAGTTCGTGCCAAAAACCCTGAACCTTCAACACTTTCACAATTATGGACGTCTATAGAGGCAGCATGGCTCAATATTCCTGCAGGGGACTTCCAACGACTTGTTGAGTCCATGCCAGTTTATGTTATGTTATGTTATGTAGAAGTGATGGGGGCCACGTAATATTTACTCTAAGTAAGTAGGTATTAATCCCACACACTAACTAGAAAACTAACAACATTTTAGCATCATTCTTCGGGTCGTGATGGAAATTGTGACTCCATCGAGCACTACAAGTACTGCCACCGTTGGCGGCATCAACGGCACTCCTAAACCTTTCAGCGTTAAATTACCAGAAGTAAAATAGATTAAATTACGTGATATACTGCGATATACATGGTCGTGCAGGTGCATATTCGAAGATGTTATCTATTGTAGTGGGTACAGGCAACATATTTCAGGACATTATATATTGCATTAGAAACAGGCGTGATGTGTACCACGTTACAAATCATTTTTGTAAATATGATCTGTTTGCGTCAGTGTTTACTATCAGAATTAATTAAGAACTATAAAATGGTTTACAAAACTTACATTTAAGTACTCTAGTATATAGATCATGTCTACAATCATGACTTGTTTACAATCAGCATTCAAAATTAGAAAAGAATATAAAATAATAAACAAAGACATAAATAAATAAATTTGAAAACAAAAGAAAATTATAGCTTCATCTGCATACTTATGCGTACTACGTACTTTTAGATATATCTGCTGATACATTACCAACTTATTTTTGTCAGTTCATTGTATGTAGTTTCGTGTATTTTTACAATAACTAGTTTTCAAGAATTACATTTTGTGATACATGTACATTTCGTGATTCATTGTTGATATTTGACCAACTCATTGCTGGCAATCGTTAAATCAGTTTCATACTCGGTGAAAAAAACATCATTGCCTATAACACTTTTAAAAATAAATTTTCGCGCGCGCAGTGACCTTGGCCTTATTTGGAATTCGAGAAGTGATGAACAGTTTATGTTATGTTATTCATTCGTTAAACGATGATAGAATAGTTGAATAAGCTCGGAATTGGAAGTTCCACACACTTGAGACATGCATCGGTTTTAAAACGACTGCGCCTGAAACACCGTATATATGTATTCCATATTACATTAAAAAAGTTCAGATATAACATTTATTACAATTACTTCGAAATAGATCGTTTCTGGACCCCATTGATCCGCTGATACTGAGATTGTCATAATTGCTGCCATTGTCACATAGAATATCATCATCATGGAAAACCTAAAAGGAAGAGGAAATACGAAAACATTGTTATTTCTGTATGCTTTTAAGAAGCACGAAAGCTCGATGTGTTTACTACTAAATAAGACCAATGATAGTTTCAAATGATCTCCGGATTCCAACTCGAAATGGTCAGTATGGCTGCAAATAAAAAGTTACGCAGTCAAAGGGATGAGCGATTCAACATCTCGAATCTTACAAACCTTGCGAAAGACTTCGCATTCTTGACAGGGTACAGGTAAACCGCTAAGGGAATGTACACTAGATGTTTTAACGCAGTTGAGTTAGACATTCTTTATATTAACAAAATGGGTTTAATTAAGGCACAATAACGCGCCGAACAAATACTAATTCAGAAGTCAAACAACGAAAAATCAGCGTTATGTTTTCAAATTTTCACAGGACTAGTTTCGATGGTTTACCGAACCATCATTCTCAGCTGCAAAAACGCAAATGAACGAGATAGGATATAATGATCAGATAAGATAAGGAAGCCTGAACAGAAAATAAGCTAGTGGCGCCATCTGTTGATGAAACCAGAACTAAAACACAATTTCTTTAAAGGCCGAAGGCAAAGATGGATTGGAATTAGGATCGTTAACTAGAACAGAAAGATTTTTTGAATGTGAAATGCCTCTAGAAAATCCAGTTCTCCAATGGAAGATGTTTTTTTTTGAATAATTTTGGCAGCAGAAAAATTGAAAGTGTGATTTTCGCACCAACAGTGTTGGGGAACAGAAGACTTCTGTGTTTCCTTTTTTCTAACATATGCCTCATGTTCCTTGACGCGAGAGTGTAAGGCTCTCTTAGTTTGGCCAATGTAAATTAAACCACACTGGCAAAGAATCCTATAAATCTCAACACACTAAAAGGCACACTCTTGTTTTAGGAGATTATAAAAATGCTGTTGTCATTCCCTTCTTTCCATCAATTAGCTATAAAGTTGCACATATTTTGCAGAAATTTAACTTTCGTTTATTCTCCCATCAATAAAATTCCGAGTTCCGTACTCAAGGACCCCATTTCGGATATGAAATCATGATATGAAATCATAGGGTATTTATAGGATCTCTTATATCCTATCTCATTCATTTGCGTTTTTGCAGCTGAGGATGTTGGTTCGGCAAAACTATCGAAGCTAGTCCTGTGAAAATTTGAAAACATAACGCTGATTTTTCGTTGTTTGACTTCTGAATTAGTAAAATGGGTTTAGTTCAGCTTCTAAATCTCAAAGCTACCCTGTTGCCTGAATTCTACATTCTGTGACAAATTCCAGCTTATTATATTTTCTAGCCTTTTAGTCCGGTTTAATGTTACGAAATGTACAGGTAAAGTAAGATTAGCAGGTTTAGGGTTGCCATAAAATGGCAAAGCAAAGGAATTGCCACATTTTGCAAGAAATCGGCCATTTGGCGACAAAATTGGCAATATGCCATAGATGGATGGAGAACCTTCTAGAACGATTTCTTACTGGTTTAGCCCGGATTGTTCTCGAATACCAGCCAAAAGCTATATAAACTCTGTTGGCACACGGAGAGTCAGTCAGTATCGAGTCAGTTAGTTAGTCCGTGCGGAGTCCATCGAGTTCACAGTCGGTCAGCGTGTGCCGAGTAAGTCGTCGAGTGCATCGAAAGAGTCTCTTAGTGCATCGCGGTTAGTGCATTGTGGTGAGAGTGTGTTGAGCTCCGGGAACGACTGAACGGAAGAGTCGGGAGTTGTGCTCTGTGTGTCGTCGAGTTCATCGCGAGTTGTAGCGTGGAGAGTCTCGGCAGTACGTGGAGTTCCGAGAACGACCGAGCAGAGTCGGGGAGCTGTACTCTGGTGCTTTACAGTGAAGCTTTTGCCACCGTTATAGCCTGATAACCTGAAAGCTGTGTCGCTGATCGTGCCAACGTGTTTATAGACCTTCGACGACTGTGTAAACGTGATTTTGGAGCTGTCCTGAGAACACTAGCCAATAAAGTGTGTTTTGCTACTTCATCAAGTGCTGTTGCCTTTATTCACTCCAAATCTACACGAACCCAGTAACAAACGTACTAAAGGAAAAAATAACGTAACAATAAGTTGTCACGTTGGGCTGAAGTCCTCGACTGCATTTTTACAGCTTGATTCCTCCCTAGAATTTTGAAAACTTTTGCGTATAACATTTCGAACACCTTGCTGTACTCTAATTTTCTTAAAGAATCTATTGTTGTTATGTATTTATTTACATAGCATGCACTATTTTTAAATGGTTTATATAGGTTAGGTTATTTAATTACGGCAAAGCCTCGAGGGCTATCTTCCTAAGGGAAGGGGTGCCTTCGTGGAGGACGTTCTAAGGGAAACTGGCTCGTATACACGTTAAACATGGGGAAAAACGCGAAAACCCCATGCAGCCAGCCCGTTCGCGGGATTCGAAACTCGGACCGAACTACCAGTGTTCAGCGTCTTTACCGCTCGGCCGCTGGTGGGCAAATGGTCTTTATATAGATTCTGACACGAAGCACTACAACTACTTTCGTTCGAAGTACTGCTACGTCAGCATAGGAAAAGTTCAATGACTTGGCGGCAGGCATTTGAAATTCTGTGATTACAGCTTTATGGCAGCAAAAATCAAGGTAATTCAATGGTTTTATATTCCATTTACAACTTATTACTTTTTTGGGCTTTACCGCATTAAAATACAATTTTAGAAAGTTTTTTTTTTTTTTTTTTTTTTACTTTATATAAAAATTTCCATTTGATTTTGAGTGAACGTCAAAGCCTATGTTAGGATTAACTCAACCTAGGTTCTTCAGATTGCAATGATTTATTTTTACTGTACATCTTACTTGTGTTTTTTCGAAATTAATTTATATTATGAAGTATTTAATTTATTAAATTTTAGAATATTTTAATATTAGAAACACTAGTTGCTAGTTACAGTTTTACATTACGTTATTATTACAGCTTTGAGAATTGACTCTTGATCTGTTTAACGTGTTGTTAAATTAATTGCTTTTTCAGACTGTGTCTACTTGACCTGTTTTTATTTTAATTAAATGAATAGTTTTATGCTATTTTTTACAATTATGTGCTTTTTTTTGGGGGGGGGAATGTTTGAAAACTAGGCGCTTTTGTATTTCCTATTCTTAGCCTGTACTGTGTTGTACTGATAAGGACACAGACTATTTTGTAGTTTATTGAAGTTTTAACTTTTGAATTGTTAATTTTTGTCATTGTGAATTCAGAAAACAGCTGATCCTTTTATTTTTTTCGTTACACCAGCTCTCTGATGACAGTGTGGCGAAAGATGTAAATACGTTTTATTTCATTTTTGGTTTATATTGATTCTGCACATTTTTACTATGGAAAAAGTAAATTAAAATTTTATTATTAATTTAAAAGTTAATTAAAGTTAAAAATTAGGTTGATCTTTACAATATGGTAACTGGTAGTTTGGCGACATTTTGGAGGCGATAAAGGTTACTACCTGGGACTTTGGTAATAATGTGAGCAGTACTCAGTTCCGATTACGCATTATTTTGTGTGAGGGAAATGAGAGATCATGGGATATGTCATGTGATATTAATGGACGAATTACGGTTCTTGAATCGGAAAAAGGGGGAAATCGGGAAAAAATCTTGGAAATTTTGTATTTGGTTTATTCTGTGTTGTGTGAAACAGTGTTCGTGAATTTTTGGATCCCATGGCCGTAACTAAAGAAAAGTTTATCGGACACGTAATCAAGATTCTGAAGAAGATTAGGTAAGTTAGTATTTTTAATTATTTGAGGATATTATTTTTATGCATTGTTCTAAATGTAAGGTGGAAGTAAAGGAATTTGGTATTATTGGGAAAATTGTTATTAGCAATGATTTAGTTTAAAGTAATTAGGATTGTAAGGTAATTTTTATTAATTTAATGTATGTGCTCATTTATATTTCAAGTAGTGTTTTTGAATTTAATTATATTTTAATTAAATGATAGTTATTTTGTGAATTTTATGTTTGTAGGAATTTGGTATACGTTATCAGGTAATTTCATATATGTTCTTTTTACCGGGTTTAAAGATTGAGAAAATTGTCATGTATTTTCGTGAAATTTTTCTAATTTATGAGAAAAAAGCAGTGTACATGGATGTAGTGAAGAGTGTGCGCAATGCCATTTTTGTGCAATTCTGGGATGTTTTTTTAAGTAAAAATAAGTCGACGTGTACATGGTTTAGTGATATTTTAATTAAATGATAGTTATTTTGTGAATTTTATGTTTGTAGGAATTTGGTATACGTTTAAGTTGAAGTAAACGTGCATGGAAATAATTTAAATATTTGATACTAAGTATTTGTAATGCTTGCGGTATGAATTCGTTGGTGACGTGTATAATGTAATAGATGATTTAGAGGTAAAAGTTTTTGGATATTTTATTTATTTTATATGTGGAAATGTTCATATTTGGAAAGGGTAAATACTTTTTCGCGATCAGGTAATTTCATATATGTTCTTTTTACCGGGATTAAAGATTGAGAAAATTGTCATGTATTTTCGTGAAATTTTTCTAATTTATGAGAAAAAAGCAGTGTACATGGATATAGTGAAGAGTGTGCACAATGCCATTTTTGTGCAATTCTGGGATGTTTTTTTAAGTAAAAAAGTCTAAGTCGGCGTGTACATGGTTTATGTGTATGTGTTATTTTGAAAACGCGTAAGGAGTATGGTATTGTGCACTTTTTCCCCAATTTTGCAGGGAATATTTGTCATGATTAAGCAGTTTTGTTAGATAAAATTTCTAGCATAAGTGTAATTCGGCTAGTAGATTGTTGGAAGAAGTGTTCAGTAGATAAAAAGAAAAGAAACATGTCTTTACTTCGTGAAGACAAAATGGCGGCGGGAAAAAAAAAATAGAGGGTTGCTGTAGAAGAGTTGGTCGCCAAATTTTCGCCAAAAAAACGCCAAGTTACCATAATGTAAAGATCAACCAAAAATTAAATCAAACAATTTAAATAAGAAATTAAAAGTTAATTAATAAAACAATTGAAAAGTTAATTAAAATTTAATTACATTTGTTAACTATGGAATCTCATTGCTATTTAAAACTTATTTTCCCCATGTTCCTTGCGCATGCACTTATTTATTTACTTTTTAAAGCACGATACAGGTTGAATATGTAATAGATTTAAATATTCTTCTTTTATTTTACAATATGTTTATGCACTCGTCAATAGCCAAGTGCACAATGATAGTTCGATCCGTTTTTGAATTTCAGTGAATGGTTTTCAGCACTTATAAGCGTAATTACAAGAGAATTTATCTCAGGAAGTCGTTCATAAAAGTTTTGTTTTCCTTCGAAAATTCGTTCATAAAGTAATTTATTGAACAGTTATCTGTTATCAAATGGGCTAATCTTTAGAATATGGTAACAGGTAGTTTGTTTGTTGTTTCACTTTTCCTTCGAGTCTGTTTCCATTCCGCAAAATGTAAGATATTTATCTTTCAAACTTAATCTCTCTGATGTTATTGATTAAAAAACTAAGCTAAATGTTATTGATTAAACAACTAAGCTAATTACTAAGCTAAATTAAAAGCAATAAATGCAGGTCTTAAGAATATTACTTTTTATCCGATTAATTTAAGTAAATATACCTATGGTATATCTAATTAAAACCCTTAAATGTTTTTATAGAATTAGAAACTTAAATGTTTTTATAGAATTAGATGTAATATTTTATAGAATTATGCTATACAGTTTTATTACTTTTTATCCGATTGATTTAAGTAAATATACCTATGGTATATCTAATTAAAACCCTTAAATGTTTTTATAGAATTTGATGTAATATTTTATAGAATTATGCTATACAGTTTTATTACTTTTTATCCGATTGATTTAAGTAAATATACCTATGGTATATCTAATTAAAACCCTTAAATGTTTTTATAGAATTTGATGTAATATTTTTACAGAATTATGCTATACAGTTTTTACTTTTTTAAATATACTGAAAATATAACGTCCCTATGTAAATCTGAATGTCTTATTCTGTAAAACGTTTCGCCATTCCCCCTGGGCTGTCTCTATCTGATAAACCATATTCGTCTTTAATAGAGCTCTTTTGTGCGATTTGTTAAAATGTGAACCCTTCCAGATTTTTAAAAATATTTTTCACTGACTGCCCTAACTGCTAAGAGAATGCTCTGCTATTAAAGTTAAGTGATCTTTTAATAGTGTTATCAGCTCAACTTTTCAGGAAAGGGTCGATATCTGGAAGATTCGATAGCTTGTCAGTCTGCTTAATCTGTTCTATTTTTTCATAAGGACAAAAGTTCAGGGTAATAGATTCAATCGTTTCTATGTCAAATCAGCACGTAAACATACATGCATGACTGTACGAATTAAGTAATTAGAATTACAAAAGATAGGAATCTCTATACAAGCAAATTTTTTTGAGGATATGAGTAAAACAAAAAGAATTAAAGAAAAGATTTGAACGAGACCAGTTTCCAAAACTTTCAACTTTTCCTAGGAACTTAGTATATTAAATAGAATTTCGAAATTTTTAGGGGGTTTGGCGTTTAAAATGTAATTGAAGCGAATTCAGTTTTTTCTTAAGTAACATAGTAGCAACCTGGAAACAAATAATTACGAAAATAATGAGAAATAAGGGAATTGAATTCAGGCTAGTAAAAATGAATCTAATTTGTGTACTAGATATCGAGACACTATTCATGATACGTCATTGCTTAATATTATTTACGTGTTCCGCCCTAATGCAGTACACGAAAGGGAGGGACACCTTCGTGGAGGATATTCTAAGGGAAACTGGCTCGTATTGGCACGTTATGCATGTGGAAAACCACGAAAACGCCCATGCAGCCAACCCTTTCGCGGGATTCGAACCTCGGACCGAACTACCAGTGTTTAGTGACTTTACCGCTCGGCCGCTGCTGGGCCTACTATACATAACAGTGGCTTGATATTAAGTGAACAAATTCATATGCGGAATGTTAATATTAAGTATACAAAGAGCTAATGAACATAAAAACTATCGTAGTTTAACTTACGTCACAGAGGCTGGAAATTTTCTGTACCGAGTTGATAGAGATGCAGTTAAAGGCACGCCAACAATATCAGTAATTTCCTGATTACGTATTGAAATTTTGATAGATTTTTATGTTCAGTCAGTACCTGTGACGTGTCTGTGCAGAAAATAACGCAAGGAGTAAATGGGAGGTAGTCTCTGTGGCCAATTGTAGAATGCCAAATCACTCCTGGAACAGAACCCAGTTTTAGGCAGATGTTCATTTGTACATTCTCATAAAGTGTCAAACATTGACATCTGCCAGTGGAAAACTCCAGCAAACTTCTGTCACAAAGTGTAACTGTACATCAAATGCCATTGTTCCTAATATATATATACATCGTTGTCGTGAACAATGGCCTGAATTAACTTCAATGAGGATAAAATGTAGTTGTTTGCTTTATATAATTTCAGCTGTTTTCATCTAATTTTATTTAGGTCTATTTCCCTGTTTGTTTCGACCAAACTTTGGAATGAATGATCGACTCATTCTTGAAATCCTGTATGCATATGTTTTTGCATAGGCAATGTAATATTTCGTATATATTTCGTTTTCAAAATTCGTTATCATTTTGTTTTATTTAAGGTTGAATCGACTCAAACCGTTTTAGAAAATGTTCACAAACATTCTTACTTAACACTAGAAAGACTGAAACTTAGTATACACCTATATTGCCCCAAAAAAAGCAGTCAAAATGACTGCACTGTGAAAGAATAATGCGTACAGAAATTTTAGTTGTTTGCTTTATATAATTTCAGCTGTTTTCCTATAATTTTATTTAGGTCTGTTTCCCTGTTTGATTCGACCAAACTTTGGAATGAATGATCGACTCATTCTTGAAATCCTGTATGCATATGTTTTGCATAGGCAATGCAATATTTCGTACATATTTTGTTTTCAAAATTCGTTATCATTTTGTTTTATTCAAGGTTGAATCGACTCAAATCATTTTAGAAAATGTTCACAAACATTCTTACTTAACACTAGAAAGACTGAAACTTAGTATATACCTATATTGCGCAAAAGCCAGTCAAAATGACAGCATTGTGAACGAATAATATGTAAAGAAATTTGTTTAAAATTAATTTTTAATATTTTTATTATTTACAGTTATATAACAAGTTATTAGTAAATATTAACGATAAAAATTTACTTCACTTGGGAAAAATAATTTATGCATTATTATTTGTACATATTTTGCAAATGAAAGTGGAAATCGTTTAATGTGTACATCTTCCGCAAACATACTTTTGACATATTTCACATATATTATTTGTTTTGCTGTTGTGGCAAAGTCCTACTTGACAAATTTGCCCTTTCTCACCTATGAAAATACAAGTAGGTGGTAAACTTCCAGAAATACCACCTTCGTGAAATTTTGACCACACAGTACCATCTACCATCGGCAGTCGTTTCAGTCTCCTGAAAGGTGTTTTCAGTTTCTTCATCAGAGTCTCTGAACTACTTAGCACCCTACACTTTTTTCTGGGCATAATGATGACACTTTCATTTTCATCATTGGTGGGTGTTTTCGTGGTTTTCCCCATGTGTGACGTGTATACGAGCCAGTTTCCCTTAGAAAGTCCTCCACGAAGGCATCTCTCCCTTAGGCAGATAGACCTAGTGTGCTTTGCCATAATTAAATACAACAACAACAACATTTTCATCATTGGTGATCGGCTCTTCATCGCTATCTTCCCTAATGCAGTACCCTAATGCAGTACACGAAATTCATAGATTCATAGATTCATAGATGTTTCACTTTGAATATAATCCGCTTCATCTTCAGATGATAGTTCAGAACTTGTTGCATCTGATTCTATATCGAGCACTCTTCACTTATGTTCGTTAGCTTTTCCAGTAATTCACTTCTATTCGACATTTCTTTCGTGAAACTAAACCGCAAGAGAAATAAAATAGACAACTTGTTAGAACAAGTATCACTGCATAAAGGGGATTTCAATAACAAGTACTACTTTAGATTATTGAGAAACTGCAACTTATCAAGTATGCGCCCAAATCGACAATTTATCATGTACTTGTATGTTATCATGTGACAGTAATAAAAAAAAATGAAGACTGTTATTTCAATACAGAGCCGAACTGGCCATATAAGAAATTGCTATATATATATATATATATAAATGTGTGTGTGATGTACTAGCTTTTGTCAGGAACAAATAGATTGTTGAAGAATCATAAATGTAGTCGTAGCTAATTATCAGACGATAAGTTTAAAACACAGGATCCAATTATTATTGCTCAGGAGAAATAGCAGTTACAAAATCAGATATCCGGAGAAAATAAAAAAGAACTACTAATAAGATTTTGTATGAAGTTTACTGCATCGTGACATTTAAGAAAAAGCCCCCGATATTCTTTAGCGATTCCTTTTATAGCCTCTGGAAAGGCGGAGCTTCCAAGAAGTACTTCCTTCCTCGTCAGCCAATCCAATTGGCTTTAAATATTTCCTGAACATTCTATAACTGTACGTGTAGAAAAGGCGGGAAAAACAACTTGACTACGGGGCTGTGGATTTAATTCCACGTACTTTCAAATAAGGGAACGTCGCCATTAAAAATGAAAAGAACATACAGTTAGAAAATGAAGTGTAATTTTGACTATGGAACTTTATTATTACATATATATACCGAAAATTAAAGAGGGGGAGGTAACTACAGTTATTAATAAACTGATTTATACGTTGTACAAAAAGTCACAAAATTCTAAGAAATTTTGTCATTATATACATAATTGTTTTTCTAATTGAAATTAAAAAGCGGTCAAAAAAAAAAAAAAATCTTCCTTGGGCAAGCTAGTGTTAACTATAGAAGGAAGAATAGTTATTGAGGACTTAAGGCCCGGGTTCGAATCCCGGAGAATGCAAGGATGTAATTTGTCCGTTTCTTCATAGGAGGCGACTGTGACCACCTACTAGGTGAATCCATAGCCAAGAGCTTCCGGCTTTAGTAATGGCCACGCCTATAAAAGGTAAGAGTCCGCCATTGGGGAAAAATTTCGGTTGAAGTAATTTACTTTCTTTTTTATCTTTTCACGTCTATTAATTATTCGAAACATTACTAAGACCAAAAAATATCATCATTACTCTGAAAATTTATTTAAAACTTAAATGCTTGCATATGTAACAATAAACGGCGAGAAACAGCAAATTTATTATGAAAATGTAGAGTATCACCCAAACATTGTTTGAAATGTAAAAACATATTTCGGAAACGGATTTAGTTTTTAGACTATTTATATTTTGCCCATATATTTACAATAAGAAAACATTTATCTGTATATTCGTAGATAAATTCTTTCTGAAAGATAAATTCCTTCTATTTGGAAAGATAAATTTCTATTTAAATTCTTAATATGAAATAAATACGAACATAAACCTGCAAAAATGCAGAGTAGAAATATTGTTGCAGTCTTAAAGGAACAGATCGCTTCATTATTTTCAAAAGACAATTGAATCAACTGGAATCCTTACTGAGGATTTTAAAAGAATATAAAGCTGGGTTTCATCAGTGTTGGTAAAGGCGAAGGTTTTTGAGAAAATATCTACACAAATCAAGAGCGCCTCTGGTAAATAAACTAATTTCATCTGACTTTTATAAAGAAATCAATATCTTTATAAAAGTCAGATGAAATTAATTTTAATTAAAATTTTAAGAGAAATGCTTGAGAAAGCATTTCAGAGAGAATATTTTTTTGAAATGATTAAAGTAGAATTGTAAACTAAATCAAATCTATTGAAATATCCTATTGAGAATGCTCACTAATTAAAAATAAGCATTGAAGGAAGAGAACGCAATACTACGAATTTACAGGGTCTGGGTCATAATCCCGACAGTCGAAATCCCGACAAGTCAGAATCCCGACTTCCAACCCCCGACATGCCGAAATCCCCCCCGACCCCAAAGTCCCGACAACGTCGAATCCCGACAGGGTCAAATCCTCTGCCAGAATCCCCGATAGGGTCAAGTTCCAGAATCCCGACAGAATCGAATCCGACTCAATTTAATCCCCCAACTAAAATCTCCAATTTAACTAATATTAAAATATTTTTAACTCTTTACATAACTTAATTCAATCAAATTATATGTACTTAAATAATTTTTAAAATTGAAATGACCGTTAAAATTTGAAATGAAGATTTATAAATTCTTTTTATTTAGAAAAGAAAACATCACTTACATGCAAACACATATTTACAGTGACACGTTGTGCGATAGCACGAAGATATTCCATCACAGGTCGATTATCACATCGTCCACAACAGTCATAATTCTCCTTTCTCTCTCATCTATCTTTCTACTTTTCGTTGTTGTTCTCCGCGAATGCATTCAACTTGGTATTCCACATGCTCCTGTTCTTTTGAAATCCTTCATGATGTTATAAACACTTCTGTGGCCAATCCTCGACAGCATTTTTGAGTGCGCGGAGCTTATAGCTTCCTTTTCTAGATCACTAATGATTCTAGATGGCCTCAGTTCATATTATTTTCTTCAGCGAAATCATTAAATCTTGGTTTTGTAATTTTCTCCAGATTTGCTATTCATCCTATTACTTTGCAGCTGTGGAAGCGTATTTAAGGGGTCTTTAGGCCTTATTGGGATTTCGCCCGTGTCGGTATTTTGACCCTGTCAGGATATTGGACAATCGGAATTCCCCGCCCTGTCGGGATTTTTGGTCTTTGGCTGTCGGGATTTCGACCCTGTCGGGATTTTTTTTGTCGGGACCCTCCTTGTCGGGATTCCCTGTCGGGATTTGGCTTGCGGCTTGTCGGGATTTCGGCTAGTCGAGATTACATTATCCGGTCCGAACTTACAACAAATATTACTTTTAAAAAATAGTATGGTACTGAATAAAACAATTTTTTTTTAAATATCGTTATATTAATAAACAAATTATGTGAAAAAAGAGGTCTACTTGAGATCTTCCGCTAGAACATTTATTTGCTATACTTCCATGCGTACTTCCCCCTTTTTTCAATGTGTTTGCTGCTTGAAAATAGATGTACGTACAGCATAAATTCATGGTGTATAACAACGAGGTTCGAATCTCGCGAACGGGCTGGATGCATGGGCTGTTTCGTGGTTTTCCCCATGTGTAATGTGTATACGAGCCAGTTTTCCATAGTCCTACACGAAGGCATTCCTCCCCTTAAGC